ACTTTAGTAAGGATTAAATGGATAGTTCACCCAAAACTGGAAATTCTGTCATTTATTCACCCTCAAGTTGTTCCAAACCTGTATGAGTTTCTTTCTTCTGTTGAACACAAAGGAAGAGCTTTTGAAAAATCTCATTAACCAAACAGTTGATGATTGACATCCATAGTTTTTTCCCCCATACTATGGAACTCAATGGCTACCATCAACTGTTTGGTTACCAACATTCTTCAAAATATCGTCCTTTGTGTTCAACCGAAGAAAGAAACGCATACAGGTTTGGAACAACTTGAGGGCGAGTAAATGACAGAATATCCCTTTAATGTAGATTTAATAAAGGATGGCCTATTTTTTACATTTGATTACTTTATTGCTATACCTAAAACCTAAACCTACCTGAAAAGTGTTTTTCATATGCATCTTTGTTTTATTGTTAAATAATAGAAATTATTTGATGATGTAGCAATAAGCTAGTACGCATGCTTGGATGCGTTTTTGAACTTTGCTCATTTAAATCATCATCAAAAACACTAACCTATTTTAATGACAAAAGTTAAAATAAGAGAGTTCAAATACTCCATTTTTTTTGTTTGTGCTAGCACTGTAATGTAACTGCCCTTTATCCATATTATAACTACAGACTAAAGCCTTTTGTTGAGCAAAGACTTTCTGAAGAATCTTGAAGAGCAGGCGTGCATCAAGACGAATATGCAAATGAATGCTTGATATTGAGCATTTCCCTCTAAAATGTTCATGGTAACACACTGACACATTAGCACTTCATAACGGATCTAAAAATAGAGCGCATATCTCAGCGGCCCTCCTGAAACACACTGACTGTACTCATTAAAATTAACATGTTGAAAGATGCCCTATTTGAGGTTGAAAGGGAGAATCGAAGAGCATCCAAACATTCGAGTAAGGTAATTCGCTGACCCGTAGTGGTATTTGTGCATGGTTGTAACTTAGGGATCAGATGTTTTGTTAAAGGATGTGAAGTAGATGGGTTTAAGGGATGAAAGGCTGCTAGACTGGAATCCGCTCTATCTCCGGGCACATCACGTCTCTGTTCTCTCTCATTGAAGCTGGTTTCCTGGTTCCTCGTGTCGCCTGAAGGCAACTGTCATGCCTCCCCTACTGAGTCTCACACGTGCTTTACTTTGAACATGACAGCATAAATCAAATTCAAAGGAGTTTGGCTTTAATATTCTGCAGGGCTGATTAAGATAAACATGATCGTTAAAAAAAAATTGAAAATATGAGGGAAAAAGTGGGTCTGGAAAACTGGAAAAGCAATGGAATATTACTTGGTGTCGAATTTTTTGGTTTGTCAGAGTCTTGTTCAAGTCACTCGTCACCTTCATCAGATGCTTATGTAAGATTCTTAAGGATACTTGTGTTGCCCTTAAAAAGTCGATGTCCATTAGACCAAGTCTGGATGGAACCGGGTTGAAGTATCCACTTCTGGCATACAAAGATGCTTTTGTTGAAGTCTGTGAATAAAAGGAAAGGCTTTGGTTGTCCATCATACCCTCTGGAAACTTCTGCAGTCCCTGTCATATTTGAGCCACCAGAGTTGACTGGATTCAATGCCAGTCTGCTGCAAGTTTTTAGATACTCGAGGAATGAAAAGTTCTCTTGTGCAAGGCGTAGCCCTGCTGATGCAATCCCTAAACAATGATATCATTTGTAACACGGGATTTGCCAAAGCACACCCCGAAATTGTTGCTGATCACAGAAAAGCCTCATTGATTTTGATTGGTGAATGCATTCCTCTTTAAATGTCAGCTTCTTGTTTTCTAGATGAGCCATTTTTGTGGTTGGATATTGTTTAGAGTTGGCAGTATCCTGCTTTATCTGTCTTTCTGCATCATCTTTAGGTGCTTTCACATGACTGCATTTCTTGTGTTCCTGCCATTTAAGGTTGTTTGAGGTGAATGTGAACTTGGTGTCAGTGCCGTAGTCAAATTTTTAATTGCAAGCCGGAGATATCCATCACTTCACATTCTTTCTCAGAGCCTGTTCACAGGGTTAGCATATCATTTATATTTCTATAGGGTTGCTACTGCTAGTGTGTTTTGGGAACATCCATCAGGCAAAAGTATGATTTAAGGTTGTGTTATGCACCAGTTACTTGAGGTTAAGGGGGTTGTTCAGATGTTTAACACAAGTACATCTGATAGTAATAGTGATGCATGCCTTGGCAAACCACACTAATAAAATGTCTTACAGAAGTACAGGTTGCTTCAAGTGCCAAACAAACAAGTGGCATTGTGAGAGTGTGATATTAATAGCTTGTTGCTTTACTTGACAACTGTGGTAAAGAGCGGCGGTTAGTACAATTGAAACAAAATGTCTTCCTGCTATTTATCGCAGACCACTTGTGGCATTTTTTTTTTATTGGACAGTTCAGTGCATTGTTGCATTTGAAAAATAACCATAAAGACAAAATTGGACATGTTCGAAATGGCGAGCCACTACAACGACAATCAGTTTCCTGTCTTTACATAATTCATGTTATTCCTGTTAGCGGCGAGTATAAAATTAGGTTGGTCAGAGCAGCAGGGGAAGACAGTGTTTTTAGAGGGAAGTGTGTTATATCCTCACTGTAAGGGCTTCTGTGGATTGCACTGCTGTTGGCGCCCCTTTTGCCGTCTGCTGCTCTAGCCAGCACTCCTCAACCCATAGTGCTCATCACACACCAATGCCTGTGTGCCAATACAGGAAGACCGTTTCAGTCTCTGCAGCTCAGACAGGAAGTGACTTCATGTTGTGCATGGGGCTTGCTGCAGCTTTCATGCCAGAGCTACTTTGCATTGAACAGAGTGGCAGTCAGTGTTGGTTGATATATTAATGAGGTCAGGGCGCTCGGTGTCATAATCATATCTGGTTCACAAATGTGCCGCATGCACTGCACTTCTTGTGAAAATAAGGTGGGAGGATTGAACCAGTGTGAATTTACAGTTACACGCAAAGAATTATAGGAAACTGTCATGAGTAACTGCCAACAGGATCAAAACAAACATGCACTACCTTAAATGTATTTCAAGCCGTCTCAAAAATGGTTTACAAACACACACACACTTTACGTAACACGCATACGGTACATTGTAAGAATATCACTAACACGGAGTAAAGAATATAAGGTAAGGCTATTAAAAAGTAGTCCCAAACTATTTTTTTTTAAATACATTAAAATTAGAAGATTGGTATGAGCCACTGTCATCAAAAATAGCACAAAGTGAAAATCAAGTGGTATTTTGGGTTAAGATTGCAGAAACTACAGTAACCATGGTAAATACAATAATTTATTGGTACTTTTTGGTGACTTACTAATTGACAACGTAACTATGACGTTACATGCTCATAATTTCATTGATATACAGCGCGTGCCTCATTTGCGAACGGCACGCTACGAACACAGTAGCCTATAACATCTGACCGTACTGTAAAGTTTATTTTTCTGAGGTGAGAGACTTTGTATTTAGTAACAAGTTATGAAAATAATGTTAGAAAAATTACACCACATGGCTTTATGCTTAAGGCCCGGGTATACTTTATTTCCCACGTTTCGCTCCATCTCGCGAACAAGTTGAGTGCGCAAGACTTTCAAAGTAGGCTATGCTCCTTTGGCCGTGAGCGTGGAAAGACGCGCTCGGCGCGTGCGCACTGTCTAGTGGATTTTGTTTTCAAGCGCTCAAGTCACTCGCACATGCGTTGTTGTACACTCGCATTTGAAATGTTTTTTGTTATGGTTGTCGTTTTTTTACGACTACACAGTGCACGACTCACTCATAACAATCTTGTGACCCACTTATGGGGTATATTACTTTCTTATTTGACTTTCTTGATGAATGAAATAAAGGCCCTCTTTTTTTTCTTTTTTTTTATATGCTGTTTCGCTCAGAAATACATTACATTACATAAGTAAAACGTGTTGTGAATGCCGTTTCGTCTCGACTTTTAAATCTCTGTCTGCTTTTCTGTTTTAGAGTAGATAACTGGTTAGATTTCCGCCTCCAACCAACTGTTCAGTTGTTCACTTTGAATGTAGAGATACAGAAATACTTCAGGTACATTTGGTTTCTGATTCCAGATGCAGTTTATTTCCCTAACTGCCTGCTAATTTGTTCCCATGAGAGTTTTAAATGACGATTGCAGACTCGCATGTGTCATCGAGTTCAGTTCAAAAGTTTCTTCTCCCTACACTTGTTATAGTGGAAAAAGAGCGATAACAACTTTGAGATACATGTTACTCATCACCACGAAAGTGAAAAGTTTTTTGTTTTTTTACTTCTCATTTCTGTTTTCTGGTGTTCTCAATTCTCAAGCTGTGGTGCGAGTTATTTTTTTCCCCCATAGTAATATCTTTTTATCTGTGAAACAGCACTGCTTTATTTAACCTGATGTTAACGTCACAGATCTTTGAGTAAACGGTCTTATCCACATTGTGGCCTAGAAGAATCTGACTGACATGTAAATCGACCAAACATAGTTTGATTTATTTTTGGGAGCAGCTTTATTTGAAATGGGCTGTACCACAATAATAGTAATGTAATTTAGTTTTAAATTTTAATTTCACATTTTATAAATGTAAATAACAGCATCGGTCTCCAAAAGTGTATATACTGAAAAAATAAATGAATGACCCAGGAAAATAGCAGAAAACGTAAAAGTAACGCTTGGACAGGCTTTTTGCAAGGCTGCTCAGCTCTTCTTCCTGTCTGAGGCATCGGAAAATCTACAGCCGCCACTTCCCCTTTGAAAGTGTGTGTGCTTGAACTGTATTTGCTGCTAAACTGTGTTTGCTGACATGCTCGGTAGGTCTAATTTTGAGGCATTGTTTAAATTTGAGTTAATTTTCTCTACGTGTATCTTACTAAAAACAACTTTTTAGGATTTAGCATTGACGTGATTGTTTGTTCAGTGATTATTTAATTGTTTGGAAATAGCAATGTGTTTTTCTTTAATTCCAATAATGAATCAATGTGCTTTCTCACCAGGTTTTTGGCCAGTTCTGGCTACAGCTGTACGCCTCAGGCTCAGCTCTGATGTTACCGGCTGAAACGGGTTGACTGTGAGAGGACGATTTCCCTCGGATATGTCTACCTTTGAGGTAACACAAACCTTAAAGTGTTGCCATCAGGATATAATGAGAATTAGGGATGGGGTTTATTTTGTTGTAGTTTGGACATCAAGGGCTTGTCCTGATATTTTTCATTTACTTGTGTATATATTTTTTTTTACTAGACAATCTGGCCTCCGGGCACCGAGTGTGTGGCCAGGTACAACTTCCCTGGAACGGCAGACCAGGACTTGCCTATGAGCAAAGGAGATGTCCTTACTATAATTGGAGTAACTAAGGTAACGTTCTGAAAAGGATTGTTAGAATAACATGTATTTAAAGAGTTCATAATTTACTCACTGTCATGTTGTTCCAGAACTGTATGACTTTATTTCTTCTTCAGAACACAGAAATTTTAAAAGAGAGATGTTTTGAAAAAATGTCTCATTTTGGATGCACGATATTTCTGCCACCATATCGGTATCGGCCGATATATGGTCATTTTTAATGTTATCTTCCTTGTTATATTTTAAATATTTCCTTTCTATAAAAGTCTAGTGCTTATATAAGTTCAGAAGGTCTTCCAGGTTTGTGGAATTGTACACGCAGTCCAGCCACTAGGCATGAGCCAGTCACTAAAAACAGACCCACAGCATTTTATCACTGGATTTACAGAAATCATTTCACTTTTAAGTGTTTTCTTAACACTGCAACATTGCATATCTAATCAGCTCCTCATGAACATTAATTATTATTTAAATTATCACTCAGTGAGTCATTTAACCATGTATTACTGTCTTTTAAGTTTTTGTTTTTGTCTGCTAAACCTCTTTGACCTAACATATTTACTTGAAGTGAGCCCTTAGATTTTAAGTTAATAAGTTAGGTCAATAATAAAATGAAGTCAATAATAATAATAAAATGAAGTTCATGGTTCTCTGATGTTGCTGGTAAAAGTTTTTTTTTTTTAAATGAGCTTTTCATTAAACTAACGAACCCCTGCAGTTCCATCAGGAACCCCATGGGGAACGTGCTGGATGTATTGTAATGACGTAATATAATATTTAATGCACTTCATGTTGTTGATGATAAAGAACAGAATATATTTTCCTTCTCTTTGTACTTTTATACCAATATTGTACAAGATGATCCTATTCAAATCAATGTGATAAACGACTTAATCTAAAAAGTAGTCAGAATACCTTAAATAAGTAGATTTACATTACTAACTTACATTTTTGTCATGTCATCTGGAATCAGTAACTACAATTTGTAAGTAATCTACCCAGCATTGGTTGTAATATTATTATTGTAATATTAATCTCATATAGGTGAGTTTATTAAACCGCTAGCATAGCACTCCAGTTTACCAGTGATCATCTTTAGCTTCAGCGCATGCTGCTCAAACAGCTATGCACAACATTAATAACTATGATTTTGACAATTTCCCGATTTTCATTCATCCTTCGGCGCTAGCGGCTCAAACAGCAATGATATTTGAAACAGTAATATTCATTTTAGCTGGGGGTTTTTTCCCCAGAAATTAGCACTTTTATTTGATTATTTAGTTGATTATCATCAACAATATGGTTTAAAATAATTTCATTATTGTCCGTGCAGTGGCTATTTCATTGTATTTATCCATGGCACATGCATTTTTATTCTTTATAGCCTACGTGTTGTCCAATGACTTGTTTGTATGTATTATTTAGGCATTATTTTATTTCATTGTAAGGCAATCGATTTTTATTTTATTTTTTGATCAAGAGATTTGGCCATCAAAGTGTAAAATGAATTTTAAAAGTTAAGGAATTTTACACGGGTTCACTATAAGCTACTGTGTTGTATTTGATTTAAGTTTTTGAGACATTGGTTTTTAATGGTGAGCATTTTGTTTTTGTAATCAGGCTATAAAAAATATATATCAAAATATGGATTTAGATTTATTGGCCAATCTATAGTCGGTGCATTCCTATGTTTTTGTTGTTGTTGTTTTTTTCAAGCAGGTCCAGTTTTTTTTGCTTTTGATCCCATTAACTTTTGAAAGTTGAAAAATTCTTCAAAATATCTTTTTATGTTCTACTAGAAATTATACAGTTTTGGAATGACATGAGTGTGAGTAAATGATGACTGAAATCATTTGAACTGTTGATGTCCGCTCACAAAAATATATGATTTGATGTTCAAGAAACATTTCTTATGATTATTAATGTCAAAAACTGTTAGGAAAATTTTGCCAACTACCGTATGTGTGTTTTAAAAGAATGCTCAACATAAAATACTCAGCAAAAAAGAAGTTCAGCAGAATGTTCATGATATTTTTGCCAAATATTGAAAGTGAACATGAACCAGTGGCTTCCAAGGTCCCAAAATGGCATAAACATATCATAAATGTGCCATATGATAGCTGTGTGTGGAGATCAAACTGAAATTTAAGTCAGTTTTTGCCTAAATTAATTTTCACTGTATAGAAAAGTCCAGCACGAACATTCTGCTAAATATCTCTATTTGTGTTCCACGTAAGAAGTGACGCTATACGAGTTTGGAACAGCATTAAGGTGAAATATAAATTATTTAATTAATACATTTAAGATGAGTTTGTTGTTGCTTCAGTGGTGGTAAGTAATGAAGTAAAAATACTTCGTTACTTTACTTAAGTATTTTTTTCGGGGATCTGTACTTTACTTGAGTATGTTTTATTTGCATCTACTTTCACTTTTACTCCACTACAATTTTAAGGACAAAGTTTACTTTTTACTCCAATACATTTCCCCATGCCCGCTCCAAGTATTTATTACACTGGCTTTCCAAACCAATGAAAAACTTGTTTTCTTTTTAAAAAAAGAACGCGGAAGCTCTTTGCCATGCGCTCACATAGCAGTCAGTTCGCCATTGACCGCAGAAACCGCTGAAGGTGCAGCTCTCGCTGCCAGCAATGATCCCAAGATTTCCGACAGGGATCACCCCATGGCCATATATCAATGATATGTTCGATTTCACTGAAGTCAAGGGAGATTAATATCGGCTGAAATGTCTTCTTCGCCTGCCACGGGTGAATTAAATTTCAGCATTCAAAACTTCACCCTCAAATCTGAGAAAACATATTGAGGTGAGTTGACGTTAAAGCAACACTAAAAAAGATTTTTTACCTTAAAATAATGTTTACAAAATCGTTTCAGCGGTTCATCAAGTCGTAACAGGGTGAAAGGCACTTCTGCCTTAGCTTTGTGGTCCTATATCTGCTAGAACCACACTATATAAGTTTGCCAGATCGGGTCGTGTTTCTGTAGTTCGAATGAGACATAAGAAAACTACAAATTTGACTTGCTTTATGGCAAGCGTTACAATTGGACATCATTCACTCTAAAGCCGGTGCTGGATAAACAGTGGATAAACAGCGAGCATGCGTGCGACAGTAGGCTGTGGTAGGCTAAATTATTTACGACAGCGGTAACGGACAATGCCGCTTCGAACCTGAAGGGGGACCGCAGAGGAAAAGTTCTTTAGTGTTGCTTTAATGTTACTATTGTTAGCTAGGTGATTTCATATTGAAACATGCCTTGTAAACAGCTAGCTAACAAATTCTTAATTGCAGTATCTAATCTTATCATTTGTTCAAATAAAACATTTCATATCACTCCCAAAACAATTGATCTGCCTAATTATTGATATTTACAGTTAATTTGAATATTTACTTTTTACTTTCGGTACTTAAGTACGTTTAAAATCAGATACTTTTGTACTTTTACTCAAGTGATGTTAGAATGGAGGACTTTCTACTTTTACTGGAGTAATTTTTTATTTAGGTATATATACTTTTACTCAAGTATAACTTTTGAGTACTTTTACCACCCCTGCATTCCAGGATCCAAACTGGTACAAAGCAAAAAACTCGGCAGGACGAGAGGGTACCATACCAGCAAACTATGTTCAGAAGAGAGAAGGAGTGAAGTCTGGCGGTAAACTGAGCCTAATGCCGTAAGTACACAGTTCATTCGCGTGTTTTTTTTTTATTTTACGAGATTGTTTTGTCAGCACTGATTCTCATTGATATACAAATAAGAAAGAGTGTTTGTGTGAGTTTCATGCATACAAACACTAGCACGCTATATTTAGCATGTATCACTGATATCATCACAGATCACCTACTATATCTGTAATTATACACAAATTTCTTCCTGCTTTCCGGTCCACCACAATAATCCAAAGACTCATTTGAATCGGCCAGCTGTTTAAAATGGAAGGAGAAATCAGAAAGTTATACAAATGGCACCACTCAGGCCAATGGAAAAAGTCCATCTCTTGGCATCTGATATGCAAAAGCCAGAGACATGCATCATGATAAGAGTTCGGTTGTAAGAGAGCATGTGATATTCTTCAATTACTGACTGCTTTGAGAGAGAGAGAGAGAGAGAGAGAACAATGGATATAATGATGTAGATTTCTCAATTTTATTTACCATAGCAAGACAAACTTGCTTGCAGCATCAATTGAATCTTAACCTGATGTATGGGATCTGGATGTCTGCTTTTAACAATGTGTAATGGAAGGTTTAGATTTGGATGAGTTTGGCTTTAGCTGATTGTGATGGTAGCAGATTTTTTTAAAGTTTTGTTTTTGTTTTTTGGTTGTCTAGTCTTTGGTAAGTGCACAGCTTTGGTTTATTTTCGATGGTGTGTATGTATATGTGTGGGTAATTGGGAGATGCAGATTGGATGTTTGTCATGCCAGGGAAGCCACAGAAGGGCCAGGCAAGGCCAGCGCTGCTTTTGGAAGCCTGTAATTTAGCTTCCTTTTCTCAGTCCTCTGAACAATATTATGTGTCTGAATCAGTGTTTCTTACTGAATTCTCTCCATAGTTGGTCCTAAGTACATGCAAAACAATACTATTTTTTGTGACACATTTTAGTGTTTTTAAAGTAAAATACCAGTACATCAACACTATTTTGGTTAAGTGTTAACTCGCTTGTTTATGAGTTATTCTTGACTAATTCATTAAAGAACCAACTCCTAAGAGTCATTATTTTGTGAATTGGACTTCATTCATTCATTTAGCAAATGCTTTTATTAAGTGACTTTCAAATGAGGAAGATCACAACCAATTGGTCATAATTTCAAATTAAAAATATAATTTGTATTTCTCATATTATTCAGTTCAGTCTCTCTCTCTCACACACACACACACACACACACACACACACACACACACACACACACACACACACACACACACAAGCTGTTGAAACTCCGCCCTCTGTGCTGGGAGCAGTAGTTAATTTGCATTTAAAGGGACACACACGAAACAACGTGTTTTTACTGACTCTCCAAAAGGGACAATTTCAACATGCTGTACAAAGTTATCTGTGAGGTATTTTGAGCTAAAACTTCACATACACACTCTGGGGACAACAGAGATTTATTCTACATATTGTAAAAAGGGGCATTATAGCACCCCTTTAAAAAAAATATACTTTTTTTTTTTTTTACAGTAAAATACTATTTAATACAACAAAGCTCTTTTTTTAACAGATTATCTGTTCCAAATTCAAAGTGCAAGACTGATTCAAAACAATAACTTTTGGGTTCATGGATCTTTTTGAATGATCCATTAAAAGATCAGACTCGAGTCATTCATTTGCAAATATGCAATTGTGTATACTTTTAGTGCTGAGATTTCTGCACTTTAGACTTTATAAACTTTATTAACTGACTAAAAAGAAAAACGATTCTTCTTTGTCAGACAACACAAAATATATATTGATATCACTTCTCAGTGATGCACATAACAAACACATGTCCTTTATCTGTGGTCACTCAGATGGTTCCATGGAAAGATCACGCGCGAGCAGGCCGAGGGGCTTCTCTACCCCCCAGAGACAGGCCTCTTCCTGGTGCGCGAGAGCACCAACTACCCCGGCGACTACACCCTGTGTGTCAGCTGCGACGGCAAGGTGGAGCATTACCGCATCATCTACCACAACGGCAAACTGTCCATCGATGAGGAGGAGTACTTTGAAAACCTCATGCAGCTCATGGAGGTGAGGGTTGCTGGCTTGGTTTAAGCTTCAGATTAGCCTAAAAACAGTTTAGATATACAAACCTAGTGCACTCATATTACTTTGGATAGGAGAAAGTGCAATGGGAATATGGCGGAGGCATAAGTCATGCCTTATAAAAGAATCAATGGCTAATTGGCAAAGTCATTGTGTCACTGCAGCTCCGGTTGCAATAAAAACACACTCTGTTCTGAGACGTAAGCTTAGGACTGCACATGTGCATTTGCTGGCCCTGCCTGAAAAATGCTGGGGTTTTTTTTTTTTTGTCATGAGTCATTAGAAACACAATTTATGAGACCATTGTTGTCAGATTTCATTAGTTGTTTCAAATGTAAAATGTAATCGTAAGGTTGGTGAACAACTTTGGAGAATTTGATGTTTCCCCATTCAAAGAGATAGGAGTTGTACTTGCGTGACTGAATCGGCTGCCAGTGAGGCATTTCAAAGATGGCCGCCGAGTGAAATGACTTGCCTTAAAGAGTCCCTGGTTGTATATTCACATAACTGGCATAACTAATTTAGGGTCTTATGGATGTTTGGTAAAATGTGATGGATTTCTATCTATCTATCTATCTATCTATATATATATATATATATTAGTGCTGGGCAACGAGTAAAAAATTTAATCGCGATTAATCGCATGATTTTCTTGCGATTAATCGCGATTAATCGCATTGTTACGCGCAAAATTGAATAATGAATTCTAAAGTACTGTATTGCGCACTTTTGATTTAAATGTACTGCTACAAAAGTGCAATAACATGTGGTTTGCAAAAACTTGCAACTTGCAGGTTTGCATAAACAAATAAGGTGCTTTTATACCAGCAGTATTCCCTTTACACAATAAAATATTTCTTGTAAATCTCAACCTAAACATTAATGTAATCAAATCAAATATTTAAACAAAGCTATTTGCCACTGCCAGGGCATTACTTTTTAGCTAGCTTGTTAAAAAGAGTCCAGTTTTCTTTTTCTTTTTCTGAACAGGTATATTGTATCAGGGAGCAGCAGAAACAGTCTAAAAGGGTCATGATCAGTACTACAGATATAAGTCGACCAACGTTACTTCTCTGATAGCAGCTTAGGTTTGGTCATGGCATGCCATGGTTTCCCACGTAAGATTACATTAAACAGAGGTAAAGCCCAATTTATACTTCTGCGTCGAACTCACGCCGTAGCTCTGTAGCGCGCGTACGCGTACCGCAAGCGCTGTGATTGCTAGAACCGCTCCCCGGGTTTCACACTCTCCCTCTGCATGTGTAATTGCGCGTCAACGCGGACAACGACGCAGATATATAATGAAAACCAACGCGTAGTCTATAGCGTAGAGGCTCCGCGTAGGTCCGACACAGAATTATAAATCAGCCTAGAGTGAGGTGAAGTGGTCGAGCACAGGTGCAGCGACAAGCGGGTGCGTTCCTGTGAAACTGTTGCGGTCATGCTCGCCTCACGCACGCGCCCGCGCGTTGCCGAAGTGGAATTATCTCACTTTTTGTACACGACGCGCAGCACAAATCATTGGAAGAGAGACTGATCCTCGGCTCGCTGTTTGTGAGTTTCCAGAATCTAAATTGTTATCAGGACATCAACAGGAGGGAATTCACATGGCAGAGCATCCCCGCTAAACTAAACGCAGACCTATCAGGTAAAGTTATGTTTAATTTTAATTTAAGTTAAAAAGACTACAGCTGCGTAGCGCACAGAAGCCGTTGCCATGGTTACTATCCATAGAGCGCCTGTCATTCACTCGCGGAGCGCTGTCTCCCTTTCTGTTCACCTGAGAGAACCTGCCAAAGCCTCTCCACCGCTTGTTTGGGTGGGTTATTTGCTGGCTGACCAACATCCCACCCCTCCTGTGATCATGGTTTGACTGTAGGGCTATGTGTATTCAGAGCCAGTGAGCAACGGACTTTCAAAATAATAATAATAAAAAAAACTGCGTTAACGCGCGATAAAAAAAATTGTCGGCATTAATTAATAAATGCGTTAACGCGATAATAACGCGTTAACTTGCCCAGCACTAATATATATATATATTTCATATATAAATGTGCAGTCCTGATAGTTTCACAACCCGTTGGGCTGATTCTGGAATGTGTTTTGCGCTTTTATTTACATATATATATATATATATGTATAAATTAAAGCGCAAAACACATTCCAGAGTCAGCCCAGCGGGTTGTGAAACTATCAAGCTTCTTCCTGTGAGTCCTTTCATCGCCTCTGTCAACATTTTCAAATTGATCGCCACACACACACACACACACACACACACACACACACACAAAGCCAAAAATAGCCCTAACAGGAAGTCAGTCCACATCAGATGCACTGGGCACAGAGATGAAGCAAGCATTTATGATAGACTCCAGGAAACAATTTTTTTACACGCACACCTTGTGCTTTAAGGTCAAAGGTTCAGTCTAGGCTGTGTTGAAGAAAGTGACACTGCTTAACAAGTGTCTTAATGGAAATGTTTTAATGGAAAGGGGTTTATTCTAGTTGTATGTCAAAGTTTAACGAAGCAGTGCTATGGTATAGTGATGGTATCATCTGCTGTAATGCAATGTTACTTTGATATATTAATCAAACCATAGTCATTTCTTGATCAATTACTACTAGGGATATTTGGATGCCAGCTTGTTACAAATACAAGCTTGTTATTGGTGGTTGCCAGAGTGTTGCTGTGTGCTTGCTAAAGCCTAGTTCACACTACATGATTTTAAGCCCGATTTGCAAGCGTTGAGCTCGCCGACAGGTCAGGGTGTTATCGCGTGCAAATCGCGGGGGATTAGCGGGTGATGGACGCTCGCCAATCTGTTAGTATGAAAGAGCCAACAACGCATCAAAGACGCTCGCAGACGCGTCGCCGAGCCCAGAAAAATATCTAGCATGCTAGATATCCAGAGCTGTCGCACGACTCAAACTCACGTGATGTTATGATGAGCCTACAGCCAATCAGAGCAAGGCATGGGTTGAGGTCACCGGGTATTGGCTCGCGTGCTGTTTCGCGTCATTTCCGGTTCGTTTTATCGCGTGATTTTTCGTGACAAAACGTGGTTTGTAGACAAGATAGAATCGTTGGGTGACAGAGTTGTTGTCAACTCGTGTAGTGCGTTACCTCCTGTTGCGGATCAATCACGTAACGTTGTGTCGTGTGGTGTGAACAGCTCAACAACTTGAACACTCCTGATTTCACAGAGAGCAAGTCATGTAGTGTGAACCGCACAGTTCAGCCCGACGTTTTAAAATCATGTAGTGTGAACTAGGCTTAAGATGTTCTAATAGGTTTTAGTGTTTCTTTGCATATCATAGGTTGTTTGAGGTGGTTGCTTATTGGCACTAGTCGAAAGAAAAAAGTTGAAGGAATTTTGTGGCCATTATCTGTTTGCTTTAAATAGCAATTGCACACGTCTTCTCAGACAAGCTTCATCATTTGAGGTAACATTCAAGTCTGTAGCACAAAGCCTTAGTTAGCAAGCACCACTAATGAAAAGAAAGCCTTAAAAAGGGCTGATTTACATAGATGTAATTTGTATAATTTTACATATCTTTTTTTATTCCACTGGTCATTGGCTTTATTAGAGTCGGTCTGTGTGAGTAACCAGTCATCCGTTCTCAGTTAAGTGTTGATAATGGTTCTGGTCTGGTTATTCTAGATTGGGGTCTGGGTGGCTTTAGTGGTCAGAGCAGAGGCTCTATGGGTTCCTCAAGTCTTTCCTCACCCTTTCTATTATGGAATTCCACGCATTCTTTAGTGTAATTTTGGCTACAGTCACTCTCTCTTTCTCCCACCCTTATAGCCTCAGCTGAACAGTTTTGCTTAAACAGAGTATACAATAAGGCTTTATGTTCATAGTGATTAGACTACTAGAGAAGATATTCCTCCCACAATCTACTCGATAACATTCCTCATAAACCAGTGGAGATATAGGCAATAAAAGCCTCAAACTGATACTGTGTCCACTGTTGTTTATCCATTAGTGTTTGTTGTCGCTCATTTGGGTTTATCACATTACAGCTCTGGGTCTGACCAGTTAACTTTATTAAATTAATACTTCTATTCAGAAAGGATGCATTAAATTGATCAAAAGTGACAGTAAAGAGATTTATAATGTTGCAAAAGATATCCATTTCACATAAATACTGTTCTTTTGAACTTTCTATTCATCTAAAAGTATCCTGAAAAAAGAAATCCATCATGGTTTCCACATAAATATTGAGCTGCACAACTTTTTTCAACATTGATAATGATAGGAAATGTTTCTTGAGCAGCAAATCAGCTTATTATAATGATTTCTGAAGGATTTACTAAAATAGTAAACGGTTATTTTTGTATCCAAGAATCACTGAAGTGTTTGTTAACTTACAGTCTAGTCATGCAAATGTGTTGTTATTTTGAGCGCGTGCGTGGATAAGAACGGCGCGCGCACGCCCGCTCGCTCCAGTTCCTGGAACAGTTGATAACGAGGAAGTGACAAAGAGGAAACGAGCGCAGGTTCCAGATCATTTCAACTGCTCAATTGATGCAGTTTCATCATGTAACAATATTATCTCGTCGTCGTCTGGCCACACGATTATAGCGTCCAGACATATGGAATCACAAACACGCATTTCAGCACTGAAATGATAAGAATGTTCTCGCCTGTGTGGACTTGTTTCTCTGAGGAGAGGAAAAGGAAACGCATGAGTCTGACTCAATAGCGCATACATGTACAACAGCGCGCTCTGCTGGCCATCAAAATTTACCGCGTTGCATGTGCTTATTGGAAGAAAGAAAATATTTGTAAAACGTTACGTATTTCATGAGTCATTGTCCATTTAAACAGCACATTCGAGGCTCATTTTACTTTTTCAGTTGTATATAATGTCCATTTATTTGCATATAGTTTTGCATAATTCAGTAAAGTGTTCATTTGTTTAAATGTAATGTAGCATGGTATTATCAGCTAATATGCATATTTTATTATTATACTGCCATGTTACTTTTTTGTAAATGAGCAGTGTGTGTGTGTGTGTGTGTGTGTGTGTGTGTGTGTGTGTGTGTGTGTGTGTGTGTGTGTGTGTGTGTGTGTGTGTGTGTGACAGCACTACACTAAAGATGCAGATGGACTCTGTACCAGACTTATCAAACCTAAACTCATGGAGGGGACTGTGGCGGCCCAGGATGAGTTCTCTAGGAGTAAGAGACTTCTTGACTGTATTCATATTCACACCTGCATTTGCTACATTTATACAGGTTTAAATTGCTGCATGGCTTCAAAGTGTGTTTTATGAAAGGTATTTTTAAGTTCATGAATCTTCCTTCCCCACAGGTGGCTGGGCTCTGAATAGAAAAGAACTAAAGCTTAATCAGACCATTGGCAAGGGAGAGTTTGGAGGTACGAATGTGCTAATGGGATGCTTTTTTGTGATTAGAAACCACATCTAGTTCAGTGGATCTAAATTAATTTGGTTAATAAAGTGAGATTAAATGCATAAAGTATATTTGCTTTATTTAACATTTATTGCAGGTTTGCGTAATATTCTGAGTTTGCATTTCACTGTTGTTTTTTCATTTATTATTATTATTATTATTTTCATTTTGAGGAATACTAAAATCTGCTTTTGTTCAAGTGTGATGAGTAAATGCCTGCTCACGTTTAGTCTAGAACCACAATAACCATCATGTTCACACAGCGCGCACAACGCATCTGCACCTTCAGATTTCTTTGACATGGGGACAGGAGAGCTGTCAGTCAATAAATGGGAAAACAAAGTAATCTGCATTACTTGAAAAAGTAACTCCGATATTTTGTTGTAAATTTAAAAAGTGATGAGTTACTTTACTAGTTGAAAGTAATCTGATTACGTAAGTCGCGTTACTTGTAATGCGTTACCCACAACACTGCTTATGAAAATAAACATAAATAAATTAACAGTACCATGAACTATACAGGCAGTCAATAATACATAAATATGCTCTTTTTGATTTTTAGATGTGATGGTTGGAGACTACAGAGGCAAGAAAGTAGCTGTGAAATGTATCAAAAATGACGCGACAGCGCAGGCCTTTGTTGCAGAGGCTTCAGTCATGACGTATGTCCCCCCCCCCCCGATTGACCAATCAGAATCAAATATTCCAGAGAATAAAAATAAAAAGGCTTTGTATATCTACATATATTTAAATATCAATTTTGATGTTGACTGTTACAGGCAGTTACGGCATAATAACTTGGTACAGTTGCTGGGAGTGATTGTGGAAGAGAAGGGCAGCCTCTTCATTGTCACTGAGTATATGGCCAAGGTCAGTGACTCCAACCTGTTATCACTGAGAACAACTGGACTTATGCATTTAATCTTGTCGTTTAGGCATAGAAAAGTATATTTTGAGAAATAACGTTCTTAAAGTATTATTATTGATGTCTTCATTTCTTTCTTCAGGGTAGTCTAGTGGACTATCTGCGCTCCAGAGGACGTACTGTTATTGGTGGAGATCGATTGATCAATTTCTCAATGTAAGTTTAATTATAAAATGAATTAAGTATATCTTCAGTTTTTACATTTTCAGAATGTTTTCTTGAATTTTTCTTGTTGATTAATATTTTAGGGATGTCTGCAAGGCGATGGAATATCTCGAGGCCAGTAACTTCGTGCACAGGGATCTGGCGGCTCGTAATGTTCTAGTGTCAGAAGACAACATAGCAAAAGTCAGCGACTTTGGCCTCACCAAGGAAGCGTCCTCATCTCAAGATACAGCCAAACTCCCGGTTAAGTGGACTTCACCTGAGGCCTTACGAGAGAAGGTGTGTTGTCTGCTTTTGGTTTAATGTTTAAATGGAGACATGCAAGAGGTCACGTCCTCTAATCTTTTTATTTTCTACCTTTCTGTCGGAAACAGAAGTTTTCCACTAAGTCAGATGTATGGAGCTATGGCATCTTACTGTGGGAGATCTATTCCTTTGGCAGGGTACCATATCCAAGAATTGTAAGTCACTTCAAACCAGAAACACGACAAATAAAAAATATATTTGTAGTTTTTATTTATTTTTTTGATAAATCAATGTGTTGTTGTTATTATTGATCTAATTTGCATTAAAACTACTAAAATAAATAGGATATTATTATCAATACATTTTTATCTTAATTGTCACCTCAAAGTAGAAAAATGACCAATAAAAAGTGTATTTGTTATTTCTATATATTTTATTATTTTATTTTAATGATCTAATTTAAGTTATATATGAATTATAATACCCTATTTATTTTAAGTCACTTCATAGCAGAAACATGACCAATGAAAATACAATGGTTTTAAAAAAAATATATACTATTATTAGAATACTATTAGCATTATATCAATATATAATAATAATATAATTTAAAATAAAATAACTTGGGATATAAAAATCAATACTTGTTTAATCTAAAGCTATAATTGGTCACCTCCAAGGAGAAACATGACCAATAAAAACTTTTTTTTTTTTTTTTTTTTTTTTTAGATACTATTAATAAAAGAAGAATACTATTAGTATTATATCAATAAACACTATAATGAACAGAAACATGACCAATAAAAATACAATTGTCATAATATTATCACAATATTATTCAATTATATAATATATTATTTAATTTATATATTTTTAATTCTTATTATTATTCTTATTACTACAGTTTTTCTATTAATAATTAAATTCAATTAACATAATCTAAAAAATGTAGTTTTAATTAAAAAAATGATCTAAATGTACATATTTTTTTATATTTTAGATATTATTTATGCCATCATAATTTAGTAATGCTATTTATATTTTAATTTTATATTTTAACAATGTATATCTGATTCTTAGTATTTTAGTGTCCAGGTAAATTCTACCAGTAGAGGACACTGTTGTCTACTTAAGCACAATCTTCCTAAGTCATGGTGTCCTTCGTCCTGTCTTCTCACAGCCTCTGAAGGAAGTTGTCCCGCGTGTAGAGAAGGGTTATAAGATGGACGCCCCCGACGTCTGCCCGGTCGTGGTGTATGACATCATGAAGCAGTGCTGGACTCTGGACCCTGTGGTGCGGCCCAGCTTCAGAGAACTGAAAGAGAAACTTCAAGATATCATAACCAATGAGCTGTACCGATAAAAGACAAAAACTAAAGGAAAAACACCGGAGGAAGACCTCCATGGGACCATTCTCATACAATCTGACCAAAATCTACTCCTAAAGCAGTGGACTTTAAAAACTTCAGCAGAAATTTCTTTTGCAAGCGCATACTTGTTTTTTCTTTGCATTGTTTTCATGGCTTGATTTTCTTAATTTTGGGGAGGCTGGCCTTCTCTACACCAACTCACCTCTTTTTGATTCATAAGATCTTCAGCCTCCTCTGATTCATCCTCATACACTCCCTCATTACAGACTTTTGATTAGCATATAGTACTTTCTGCCAAAAAAAGGAGAAAAATCAGTTTTATTACAAAATCTGTCCATAAAACTAAACAAAAAAAATAAAATGATCATGAGAAATGATAATTGGCACCCATAAGGCAGGTTTTTTTGCTAAATCTTGTACCCAAGAACAATAATTGGCACTTAGGGAAACCGTATGTCCATCCCAAACTGTTTTCAGTTCCAGTAGCCAATGAAATACACAAGAGAATCTTTCTTCCATTTCACAGTGCCTTTACGGCAGAAGTCTGTCTCGCCACAGAGCTTGTTTTTTTATTTTATTTTAAATATGGTGTGTAAAAGCGCTTTGATTTCCTGTTGTCTTTCTCATCTTTCCAAACATGTCGGTCTGAGCCTCTTAACCAGAAAGGATGAATATAAACATTGTAGGCCTTTCAAAAGAGATGTGGCTTGGGTGGAAGCTGAAATGCTTTAAAGGGATAGTTCACCCAAAAATGAACATTCTGTCATCATTTACTCACCCTCAAGTTGTTCCAAACCTGTATGAGTTTTTTGTTTTGTTCTGTTGAACACAAAAGAAGATATTTTGAAGAATGTTTCTGGTCCTCATTGACTTGCATAGTATGAAAAAAAAAAAAAACTATGAAAGTCAATGAGAATCAGACACTGTTTGGTTACCAACATTCTTTAAAATATCTTCTTTTGTGTTCAGCAGAAGAAAGAAACTCATACAGTTTTGGAACAATTTGAGGGTGAGTAAATGACAGAATTTTCATTTTTGGGTGAACTATCCCTTTAGTTAAAAATAAAAAAAGATATATTAAAAAATATAAGAGAGAAATTATACAAAAAAAGCCACAAATACAGATTTGTTAAATATTTGTTATATATTATATGCTGATTATTGCAAAGGACTTGACTTTGCGGTGCTTTTCTCTTCTTTTTTTTTTTGCTGCCATATTTCAGATAAAATCATTCCACCTGAACAGTTTGATAAAAACAAAAGATAAATGACAAAAAAATAAAAAGGCTGCCTAAAAGCTTTGAATGTGTGTTTATGTCCCCTTAAATGTGACCAAACATTTTCAAGTTCAGTCAAAGAGACATGGACAAGGAAACATGTCATTTATACAAACTTCTGCCCGTTTAGCAGCGACCCATACAGACTCGTGACACATGAAAGATTTTCACCATAAGGTTTTGACAGACGTATGTGAAACGGTAATAATAATACCGATGCCAGATGCGCTCAACGTATGTCACGTCTTTAAAATCACATCATGCACCTCCACCAGAATGTGAAAGGATTGTTCTCTGGTCTATCTATATAGGACGCTGTATTTGTGCTCAGCGCATGTTTCTCATCAGCAACATGATATCAAGACGAGGAAGATTCATGAGCGCGCAGCTAGAATGAAACCTAAACCACTGAAATGCTGTGTTTGTGGTTTTCAGTGAAGGTGAATCCACCTCTGGTCTACAACAAGATCATTTGAACGAAAACATAACACAGGGAAATGTTTGCATTTCTCTCTTTTATAGATAAATATTTGAATTTTTTTTTTTAGGGGAGCTACAATTAGGGGCTGCATGCGTAAATTATGATTTTGGAAGAAATGCTATCTTTTCACAATATTTTGAAACTCTTTTCACGAGTTCACACATATAATTAGATTTTTTTTGGCGTGCTGTCCGAGGGGAGGGCTGCTCCGAGCTTGGAATTTGGCCCAAATCCAGAGTACCTTCCCCTGATATCCCTGGCTGGGATAGGAACCCGTCGAGAGCGAGGAGTTGGAGTGGTGGAGGGATGCTGTCGTGGGAGGGAGGTGAGAGAGAATACATATAGGCCTCGTCTCGAGCTGATTGGTTAGATTAGCTGAATGTGTAATTCTCAATTGTTCAATTCTCTTCATTTAGGAAAAGGAAGAAAAAAAAAACATCCAAAATAAAAGCCAACAGAATTTTTTAACATTTGATTTTTATGATATATTATTGTTACATCACCTCTGAAAAATTCTCAGCGATGGTAATATATTTTCCTAAAGTAAAGTAATTTCCTTAATATTACATTTTATTCATGCATTAAATGCTGTTTGTAATTTATTTATAATTGGTAGTAAAAAAAAAAGTAAAAACATGCTCATTTACGAATGCATATTAAGTGTTTTCTTAAACATTTTAAGTTGTGTTTTGTTAAAATATATAGATATGAAATTTATGTGTGTATTTAGTATAAATGCAATATTTGAAATGTGTATATATGTATACATATGTTGATTATTTTTTTTATATATATATATAGCCTATTTTTATATATATATATATATATATAATTGTTTTTATTCATTTAATTTAACTTTTTAGTGGCATGCAAATGTGCATGCATATATGTATATATATATATTAAAATAAAAAAATATGAAATGCATTAGGTAGATGCTTTGATAGACGACGCGCAACTCATTGCATATAAAATAATGCATAATTGAATATGTTGATTTAATGGTTTCATTTTTATTTAAAAAGAAAGGGGAAGGAAACGACCTGTAGCACTTCCCCTTAAAAGTGAGATCCGAAAATGCTTACAAAACTTCAAGCAAGCGAGCTTCCCTGCCTTACAAGAAAGAATGAGGTAAGTTAGGGAGACGGGACTTCAGCTTCCCCCTCGGGTGCCCTGTGTGCTTCACGCCAGAACGCTTGACTGTGGATGTCACCATGCATGTGTCACGATTTGCTCTGTTTTGTGGCCTATTTGGAAGACATTGCCAAGGGACAGTGAGAAGTGTTTAATTTAACCGTATCGTTTAAAGGAAATGATTCTGATCTCATGTTATGAGGGAAGAACAGAAATGTTGAAACTATCCCTGCCTAAGCAGTCAATAGTAGTGGTTTATATGTTCCTTCAGTCTTTATCTCCGTGAGATGCAGAGTTCATGCGTTCGCCTGAAGAGAGCAACGTTAAGTGACACGCTATGTTTGATTCTCTAAAATACCAAAGTTCCTCCAGCTGTGGGTTTAGATGCTCCGCAGTGCTCGTCAGCCCCCATTTACATCTCTCCCATGACATTTGGGCTCAGGCCCGGAACCGGCCTTCACCCACGCCCAGCCTAAGGGAGCTCGTATGCCAGTGTACATCCCAATCAACACTAGAAGTGGAGTCCTCACGATGCTTACATTCATAACAGTCTTCTTCTCTCATGCAAAACGCATCCCTCTGCTGTTTGCATTTGGGCCAGAAATGTGCCTCATGAAGGGTTTGTGAGTACAGTGATTCAGGGTTGTGCTGAACGGAGAAGTGACTCTGCTAGGGCACTGCTTCAGGCAAGAGGGAAAAACCTTCTCAATGCCCTGGCATTTATCTGGAGAATCATTGACCCTTATAGACAACAAGTGCTGGAAAAGGTTTGGCAAAGAGTCTATTCTGCTTGTTTGGAGAATAAATGTAATTCAATATAGCCTCTTATTCTTCACTGGACAAATGAGGACAAATCAGATTGCAGCTGGTCATGTTTAAAGCATGTATGATAATGAATTCAGTGTACCGTCTCTGAATAAACTCTCATATTATCCGAGATTTACATCCGAAAGCAGTTGGATTCAGCAAGATGAATGTTCAAAGCAAATGTAATTGTTAAAATTCCCCCAAATGGAACAAAGCGTTGACTCACCGCTGTCTTTGGGAAAAGGCATCATATCCTCCAAAGAAGACATTTAAACATGCATTATTCATGTCATTTCAGAAAAGTGATTTGTCAATGTATTACAATTCAAGATGTAGATAACAATGAAAGATTTATTTTAAACTTTTATATCATTTTATATCTAACACTGCCCGGCCAAAAAAAATTGCTTGGATTTAAATAGGCAAATGCTTATGTTTGGATCATTAATGCACACTGTAAAAAATAATCGTGATTTTAACGGTAAAAAACTGTTAATTGGTTAACAGAAAGTTTCCTTACTATATACGGTAAATAACTGTTATAGATCTAACGGTACATTTAATGTAATTGTACTATAAAATACCGTTAAATTTACAGTTTTTGAAAGTGAAAAAGAACAACTCGTATAATTTACAGTGAAAAACCGTAAATTGACATTCCCACAATTCCCTGCGTGACACTTCACATTTGATGTATTTTTGTTGAAATAACTGTTTCTTCTATCAGTTATGTACATTAGAGTTTTATGTTACATTTAATGTTGTTAAATTAATGTTTATTGCATTTTTAAAATTTCATATGTTACCATGATGCTGTTTAGTGTTTGTGCGAATAACACTGTGCAGCTTCTACATTAGTACACTGTAAAAAATAAAAAGTTGAGTAAACTTAAAAAAATCAAGCAACCAGCTGCAAAGCATTTTTGAGTTTACTCAACTTCAGTGGTCGAAGTTCATCCAACTACCAGTCCAACTTAAATAAACGAGTAAGCTCAACTACAGAGGTCCTGAAGTTCAGTAAACTCAAAAAAGCTTTGCAGCTGGTTGCTTGATTTTTTCATATATTACCATGATGCTGTTTAGTGTTTGTGCGAAGAACACTGTGCAGCTTCTACATACTAACTTCTTCGTGGAAGAGCAGCTTCTGATGAGCTATGATTTATCATGTGACTTTCTTCACTGCTGTGATGAATGTTGGTTGTCAGTGTAATACAATGGTACAAAACAGATATTAATACATAAATAGGTTGGAAAATTAACATTATATCAGATAATGAAATACGGTTTATTACTGTAAATTTTAAGTTAAGTCTGTAAAACCAATAACGTTTGTACCATATTCTTGACTGTAAAGTTCTGGCAACCACAGCTGCCGGTATTTTACCGTAAAAATG